TAATTTTTGAAACCTTGTTTTCATCATCACAACAGCGGCTGGCAGTTTTGTGGCAGACCTGCCTATATGTACCTAAGTTCTAAGATTGCTAAGTTCTTCCTGACTCTTCGAGAAAGAAATTTGAGCCAGGTAAATCCTATCTACTGAGGAGGCTGAGATATGAGGATAGCAGTTCAGGAAAGTCAGACGCTTATCTCCAATTAACCAGCAAAAATGTGAGAAATGGAACTGTGGTTCAAGTGGTAGAGTGCTAGCCTTGAGCAAAGGAAGCTCAGCAACAGAGCCCAGGCCCTGAGGTCAGGGCCCAGGACTGGCAAGAAAATAAACATGTGTTGTCTGAGGCTGGGGGCATGCCTGCTTGGCCAGCAGGAGATGATGAGTTCAAATTTCAGTACTGCTGAAGAAAACGGTAAACTGTCTTTTCTGCTCCTGTCTTTTTCTTTGTGTGTGCCAGTTGTGGGACATGAACAGTTGTGGGCACTGTCTCTTACTTTTTCACACAAGGCTGGTGTTGTACCACTTGTGTCACATCTCCATTTCTAGCTTTTTGCTGGTTCATTGGAGATTTATCTCCCAGACTTTTCTACCAGAGCAGGATTTGAACCATGATCTTCATATCTCAGCTTCCTGAGTAGCTGGGATTACACGTGTGCATCACCAGTGCCAGGCATGTGGGTCATATATTATTTATTTATTTATTCATTCATTCATTCATTTATTGCCAGTTCTGGGGCTTGAAGTCAGGGCCTGGGCACTGTCCCTGAGCTTCTTTTGTTAAAGGATAGCCTTCTAACACTTGAGCCATAGCACCACTTCTGATATTTTCTGCTTATATGGTACTGAGGAATTGAACCCAAGGCTTCCTGCATGCTAGGCAAGCACTCTAACACTGAGCCATATTCCCAGCCCTATTATTATTTTCTTTCTTTCTTTTTTTGCCAAGTCCATGCGCCCCCAGAGGCTACCAGGGAGGGAATTCTCACTGTTAACTTTTGTCTCTAATTTTAGCAATGGCAATGGTTAATAGCGCCTGTGGTCCATGCCAACTGGACCACAGCATAAATTCTCTCCACTTCCATTGATGCCCTGTTGGATAAACCAACGTGTCTGCTCCAGTCTGGAGAAGAGCTTTGCGTACGGTGTTACCATCCTTTATTCTGTCAGAATGGATCACAGTGGTCAAGTTACAAACAGATTTTCACTTGAGCACTGATTTCCTTAGCTGTAATGGAAGCAATTGCATAAGTTACAAGGAAAGAAAAGGTTCTGGCAGCTCTTCCTACCCTCAGCCTGTCTTTGGGGGCTGATGAATTCATGGCCCGCCCTCACCCAGGGGATGACAGAAGTTAGCTGAGTGGGGGGGGGGGGAGGGTGGGGGGGGAGGGAGGAATGTGGAGGGGAATAGGATGAAGCCAGGTGAACAATCCACAAAAGAAATTTTTGTTGTTGGTCCTGGGGCTTGAACTCAAGGCCTGGGCACTGTCCCTTAGCACTTTTTGCTCAAGGCTAGCACTCTACCACTTTTTATTTTTGTCAGTCGTGAAGCTTGAACTCGGCTTGGGAGCTGTCCTTGTGCTCTTCAGCTCAAGGTGAATGCTCTACTGCTTGAGCCACAGCGCCACTTCTGGTTTTCTGGTGGTTTATTGGAGATAAGAGTCTCACAGAGTTTCCTTCCCCGGCTGGCTTTGAACCGAGATCTTCAGATCTCAGCCTCCAGAGTAGCTAGGATTACAGGCGTGAGTCATCGGTGCCTGGCTTAGCACTCTACCACTTTGAGCTAATAGTGCCACTTCCGGTTTTTCCCGAGTTGCTAGTATTACAGGTGTGAGTCACCAGTGTTCAGCAGAATTTTTTTAATGTATGCTTATGGGACCTTGAACCCAAAGCATTAGATTTCCTAGGCAAACTCTCTGCCACTTAAGATACATTCCCCAGCCGGGCACTGGTGGCTCACACCTGTCATCCTAGCTATTCAGGAGGCTGAGATCTGAGGATTGCGGTTCAAAGGCAGCCCGGGCAGGAAAGTCCGTGAGACTCTTATCTCCAATTAACCATCAGAAAACTGGAAGTGGTGCTGTGGCTTAAGTGGTAGGGCGATAGCCTTGAGCTGATGAGATTAGAGACAGCTCCCAGGCCCAGAGTTCAAACCCCATGACTAACAACAAAAAATTCCCCAGCCCAAGGTGGCTCAGCGGTAGAGCGCGTGCCTTGCATGCATGAGGCCCTGGGTTTGATTGCCCAGCACCACATAAGCAAAAAGAAAAAAGGCCCGAAGTGGCACTGTGGCTCAAGTGGTAGAGTGCTAGCCTTGAGCTGAAGAGCTGAGGGACAGTGCCCAGGCCCAGAGTTCAGGCCCCACAACTGGACCCAAAAGAAACCCCCCCCCCAAAAAAAAAATTTCCCCAGCCCAAGAATTAAAAAAAAAATCATTTTCTATAAGTGGACAGCTCATTGATTTTGATTTCTACTATTCTTCTTAAGGCTAAATGTCTAGAAAGCGAGAAACATGGAACTTTGAACACAATTGTGAAGAGCAATATCCGCTTGGGGAGGTTGGAGGAGAAAGTCAAGGTAAGTGTCCCGGTCACCTGGGAGGTCCACCTGCCCATAGGAACAGGGGCTTTTCACATGGGCGGTGTGACTGGGCATGGTGGGGCACGCCTGTAATCTCAGTGACATGGGAGGCTTGAGAATGGGAGGATTGTGAGTGGAGGCCTGTCCATAGGAAAACTTACCAGACCATTCTTCCACTTGCAACTAGGTATGGTCACACATACTTGTCATTCCAGCTACAGTGGGAAACAAAATTAAAATAAAAAAATATTACATCCCCGCGCCCCCTTTCTGCAAGGAGGAGGTAATTCCTAACTCAGAGTAACCACTGCAGAAAAGAGATGGAGGTGGTGTAGGAAGGAGGAAAGAGGAAGGGACGGAGAAACATTTAGCACCCCCCCAAAAAAAAAAAAGCAATGGCAGATTTTACTGAGAGAAATAGCTCTTGCTACTCAGGAGGCTGATATTAGAGGGTCTCAGGTTAGAGCCAACATAGCCAGCCTCAGTTTGAAGACAAAACAGTGAGACTTTATTGTGTGTGTTGGTCCTGGGGCATGAACTCAGGACTTGAGCACTGTCCCTGAGCTTTGTCATTGAAGGCTAGTGCTCTACCACTTGAGCCACCAGTCCATTAATGGCTTTTTTTTTTTGGTGGTTAGTTGAAGATGAGTCTTATGGATTTTTCCTGCCCAGGATGGCTTTGAACTTTAGTCCTCAGCTCTCAGCCTTCTGAGTAGCTAGGATTACAGGCATGTGCCACTGGTGCCTGCCCAGTGAGACTCTTATCTCCAATGGGCCAACAAAAGGCCAGAAGTAGAACTATAGCTCAAGTGGTAGACCACCAGCCAGCCAAGGAAGAAGTTGAGGTCGAGTTCAATCCCCAATACCTGCACTAAAAAAAAAAAAAAGAGACTTATCAATTGATTAAAAAGCTATTTTTCTTCCACACAATAAAATATCATACAATTGTTTTTAAGAAAAAGAAAAGACTGGACATGGTGGCTTATTCCTGTAATTCTAGCCTGGGAAAAGTTAGCAAAACTTCTCTTAAAAACAAAATACAGCCGGGCACCAGTGGCTCATGCCTGTAATCCTAGCTATTCAGGAGGCTGAGATTTGAGGCTCGTGGTTCAAAGCTACGGACAAGAACATCTGTGGGACTCTTAACTCTAATTAACCACCAGAAAACCAGAAGTGGCTTTGTGGCTCAAGTGGTGGAGTCCTAGCCTTGAGCTGAAGAGCTCAGGGACAGCGCCCAGACCCAGAGTTCAAGCCCCACGACTGACAAAAAAAAAAAAAATACAGGGAAGTGATGTGTGGCCCTGAGCACAAGGAGGTACCCAGAACAGCACCAAGACCCTGAGTTCAAGCCCCTCAACCAACAAAAGAAAAAAAATATGAAAAACTTAATACAGGGGCTGGGATATAGTTCAGTGACAAAGCTACTTTGTCTAGCAAGTGCAGCATCCTGGTTTCAATCCCTAGTAGTAAAAAAACAAAAAACAAAACAAATGCTGTTAAAAACAAAAACAAAATACAGGCCTGGTGCTAGGCTGTCATCCTAGCAACTAGGATGACGCCTGTCATCCTAGCTACTCAAGAGGCTGAGAGGATCACAGTTCAAAACCAGTCTGCTGCTGTCTGCAACCTGGGACAGCACAAGAGGATACCAGAGCCAAAGAAAGAACAGACAGAGAGAGTTAAGCAAGCGGGGACCTGGGGAGTGGGGCGGAGGTCATGGCTCACTGGCTTTTGAACACCGAGCTCCCTCAAGCAAGCCTACTTACCTAGTCCAGTCCAGGGAAGATAACAGAGCAAGGCAGCAGCTGTCCCGTGGCTGCAGCTGTTGACATGAGGCACTCGGTGTTTGCTGTCATAACTGCCTCCCTTATTGAAATCGGGAGCTGTAACTTACACACCTGTCTACACCATTGTCTCAGCATCATGGGGTCCAGTCAGCTGCGAACTTAAATGCCATAGGCTCAGTTCATTGTAATGTAGACATGTATCTTTTGTGTGTGTGTGTGTCGGTTGTGGGGCTTGAACTCTGGGCGCTGTCCCTCAGCTCTTCTGGCCAGCACCCTACCACTTGAGCCACAGCGCCACTTCTGGCTTTTTTCTGCTTATGTGGTGCTGAGGAATTGAACCCAGGGCCTCATGCATGCAAGGCAAGCACTCTA